ATGTCCCTTCAGTGTCACTGGGCAGGAGGTGACCATCACACATTGCAGCAGCCTTTCTTGTAGAGACAGTGATGTACAGCAAGTAATGACGATTTTTTTTTCCTTCTTTTTCTCTCTTTTTAGTAATGGAGTTTCTCCTTCCTTTTCTTTTCCAAGTCTGGCCCTGTTTTTTGGCTTTGTTTTTCACAAAATTCACGTAAGATCTGCACACCTTGTTTTTCACACCTTGTTTTTCACATGATCCAGGGCCTGGAGTTTTGTCTGATGGACCAAATGGTCTATCAGCAAGAGTTCCTTTCTCAATGCTCAGTCCCAGTCTCCAATTCCAGACTCCAGTCCTTTTTTCACAAGATTCAGAGCCTGGAGTTTTGTCCACTGGACCAGGTGGTCTATCACCAATGCATACCTTACTGGTGACTATTCCCCTGAATAGGAAGAAAACCAACAGACTGACAAAAGGCAAACATCCTACTCCAGAAAGTAGCACCAGATAGACTTGCTTGTTTGGAATGATATATGTGATCTAGACAAAACCAAATCAATCGGTAAAAACTGGTTTTGAGGAAAACGTCCTTGAAAATCTATAAGCTAACTAATTTAGTTTATATTTTTCATTTTAAGAATAGAGAACATAACAACAAATACCTCCTGAGCATGCGTAGTAATTACGTTATGTAACTCTAAGAGTATATAAATCGTATCTGGAAACAAGGAGGTGTGCTAGCTTTGTGGAATTTCCACCTAGCACCCTTTCCTGTGCAGACTTGAAAATAAAGAAGTATCTTGGCTCTGTGTGTATGACTGGCTTTGCACAGCAGGTACTGGACCCCACTTGAGGGACAACAGCTTTGACCCAGATGGGACCATGCTGACAGCCTTGCCCGGATTGTCTTGCCGTACCCGACGGGAAGAAGAACTGAGCGGACTCCAGCGCACACCGACCCGTTAATCAGGGATGCCACCAGCTCCCCTCCTGCAGTCGGGCGGTAAGTGACACAACAGTGCAATGCCACAACGAGATACTTCTCCAAGAACTGCAGTACTGGAGACATACACGTAGACAGGTGATTTTTCCTTTTCTTAAATTTGACATCTTCTCTCTGGTTCGCTCTGCATAAGGCGCCCCGCTAAAAGTTCACAGCGGCAGCTTCATACGCGCAGACACATAAGGAATGAGAAGCAGGGGGCTCTCTTTCCAATAGCTGAGCGTGTGAAGCCCTGGCTAAAAAGTTTTTTTGATCTGTACCTGAATTAGCACGCACACTGTTCTTACAGAATATAAAAGTTTAATTATGAAATCAGTTCAGGTAGTTCTACTGGTGCGTCACCGCATGCTCCTTTAGGATGCATTCTGAAAAACTGGAATAAAATTGGTGGGGATCCCCTAACTAAAGAAAGGCTGCTAAAGGATTGCTGACAGTGGCGGCCGACATATGAATTGTATGAGGGGGAAAAAATGGATCTTTGAATAATACAATATTGCAATTAATGTTATTTTGTTGTAGAAAGGATAAGTGGGAAGAAGTGCCATATGTTGACCTTTTCTTTGACTTAAGAAATGATTATGAGACTCAGCAAAAATATAAGTTGTTTGGGAATGATGCAAGTGGACTTTATGTACTGGCTGAAAGTACAAAAAAGTGAAAACTGGGAGTTGCACCGCTTGTTTTGAGAGGAAAAAATGTGTTAAGGTGGCAGATGAACCTAAGGATGTACAAATGTTAGTTCTGCCAAGGAAAAAGGAAAAGAGGGTTAGGGATGACGAGGATAATGAGGAATCTCATACAGAGAACAGTGAAAATAGTAGTTTTAGCCCCATTTCTGGAAGAATAAGGGGACAACGGCCCCTTATACAGGCTCCCTTAAGACAAGCAATGGGGGTAGAGGGACCAGTATTTGTGCATGTACCTTTTACTACTTCTGATTTGCTAAACTGGAAACATTCTGTGGGGCCTTACAAGGAGAATGTGGAGCAAATGCATCAGTTATGAGAAATTATGATGTCAACACATAACCCGAACTGGGGGGGGGGGATATACAAACTATGCTAAATACTTTCTTTACAGCTTTCTTACAGCTTATTCTTCCAGAAATGGGGCTAAAACTACTATTTTCACTGTTCTCTGCAGGAGATTCCTTATTATCCTCATCATCCCTAACCCTCTTTTCCTTTTATAGCTGAGGAGAGGCACTTGGTGCTTGAAAAGGCTAGGGAAGGGGAAAGGAGACACATAACTGATGTTATCTCACTGTTTTTGCCTAGAACCGATCCTGAATGGGACCCAAATCAGAGCACAGAAAAAGTACTGCTTAAAGAATACCAATACTTGGTTCTGTATGGAGTCTGGCACGTAGTGCCAAAACCTAAAAATATGTCTAAACTTTACGAAGTTAGTCAGGAAGCTGGTGAAAGTCCACCAGCATTTGATGAACACTTGTGTGAAACTGCACGGCGATGGACTGACTTAGATCCCAATGGGGAGGCAAACAAGAAAGCGTTTAATATGCTGTTGATAGGGCAATCAGCTCCGGATACAAGAAAAAAGCTACAAAAGTGGATGGTGTCAGGGGAATGTCTGCATCTCGACTGAAATTGCTTATAAAGTATATAAGAGTAGGGAGGGGGCAGAGAAAAGGGAAAAACATAAGGGAATGAAACTGCAAGCTTCACTGATTGCTGCTGCAATCTCTGGGACTTTTGTGAGAGGTGACAGAGGAGCAGGAAGAGACTTCGGGAGAAACAGGATAAATGAAGCCAGGAGGGGTACAGGAGCAGATTTGCCCATTCGCTCTCCTCTAGGTACAAATCAGAGTGCTTATTGTAGAAAGGAGGGGCATTGGAAGAGAGAATGTCCCTTTAGGAAATAAAAAAAAAAAAAAAAAAAAAAAAAGCAGTCCCAACAGCAGATTTGGTTATGGTAGGAACATCAGATACTGAATGAAGGGGACAGGGGGAAAGTATTAAAATTTCCCTCAACTGATCCCCTGGTTCCAATAAAGCTGGGGAATAAAACTATAGATTTTCTGGCAGATAGTGGAACAACTTATTCAGTTGTAACTAGCTGTAGAGGACCTACAACTAAAACTTATATGCCAATCGTTGGTATTACAGGAAGCCAGGCTTACATGCCTTATTTGAAACCTATAGAACGCACAATAGAAACACCACATTAACTTACAAATTCCTGTATGTACCAGAGTGCCCCGTTCCCTTGTTGGGACGAGATTTGTTATGTAAATTGAATGCCCAGCCAACTTTTTCTGACAAGTCTATTCAGTTATATGTAGAGACAGCTTGGAAAGCTCAGTTGTATCTACTGACTGAAAAGAAACAAGAGACCAGGATTCATGAAGAAATCCTGAATGCTGTAATACATCTGGTATGGGCCTCCAAGAAACCTGGGCAAGCAAAGAATGCTACTCCAGTAAAGGCTGAATTAAAATCAGGAGCTGAAACAGTAAGAAACAAACAATATCCTACGAAATTAGAAGCCAGAATGGGCCCAGAACTGTTGATTAATACTTCTGTGCAGTATGAACTGTCGCGTGAGTGTCAATCAGAATACAATACCCCTATCTTACTGGTTAAGAAGCCCCACTCCCAGGAGTATAGGCTGGTGTATGACTTAACAGAAATAAGATCACTGTTGATGTACACTCTGTGAGACCTAATCCTTACACTTTGTGGTCAACCATCCCTGAGAATGATTATTTTACAATTTTAGACCTTAAAGATGCATTCTTTTGTATCCCTCTGGAGGAAGAAAGGCAGGGGATATTCGTGTTTGAATGGGAAAGTCCTGCCACAGGAAGGAAAACACAACTTCGCTGGACTGTGCTGCCACAAGGCTTCAAGAATAGCCCAATGTTGTTTGGTAACGTACTTGCCAGAGAATTAGAAGAATGGCAAGGTAAGAATCCTTTTGTTACCTTGCTACAGTACGTTGATGATATTCTAATTGAAACACAGACTGAAACAGGGTGTAAATTTGCAATGATAATTTTACTAAATTTTCTGGGACTGGCCGGATATCGAGTATCTCAAAAGAAAATATAGGTGATGCAAACCACCACAACTCACTTGCGTTTCAGAATTTCCTGAGAGAAAAGAGAATTAGGGGCTGAAACAAAAGAAGCTATTTGTCGAATAGCTCCCCCAATCCAAAAAGGAACTTGGAGAGTTTCTGGGAATGGCTGGATGGTGCAGGTTATGGATACCTAACTTCAGCCCGAGAGCCAAACCCTTATATGAGGCCCTCAGGGGACCTGGAGAAACTTTGGAACGGACACCAGAGTGTCAGAAAGGATTTGATTCACAGAGAAGCAGATCAGAATCACACAGGATGTTAGAGGCTGGAAGGGACCTCGAAAGATCATCTAGTCCAACCCCAAATCCATTAAGACTGAACTGATGAGAGCACCTGCTTTGGGTTTACCAGACTTAAGTAAACTTAACTTTTGTGTTATATGTGCACGAGAGACAACACATAGCACTGAGAGTCCCGACCCAAATGCTGGGAGATTGGAAAAGACCAGTAGCTTACTTCTCCAAACAGCCTATCACAGTTTTTGTACCACATGCAGTAATCACCGTGCTTGAACAAAAAGGACATTATTGGATCTCTCCTAGCAGGTTAGCCCAGTATCAGGCGATATTGATTGAACACAATGATGTCACTCTGAAAATGTCTTTAACTCTGGATCCAGCTACTTTAATACCTATAGATGAAAAAGAAAAACTGGAGCATGACTGCCTGCAGGTCATGGATAGGTATATTCTAGTTGATCTGACTTCAAAGATTGATTAGTCGATCCAGAAATTGAACTTTTTACAGGTGGAAGCAGTTTTATGGTGACCAGAGACTGAAGAGCCAGAGATGCTGTGGTGACACTTCAAGAGGAAGCTGATGCACGAGCTTTGCCATCAAACACTTCTCCTCAAAAGGCTGAGATTATTGCCTTAATTTGTGCTTTACAATTGTCAAAGGATAAGAAGGTAAATATCTATACAGACTCTAAATATGCATTTGGAGTAGTACATGTGCATGGAGCAATTTGGAAGGAACGTGGACTTTTATCATCTCAAGGCAATCCTATTAAATATGGGCAAGAACTCTCGAGATTACTACAAGCTGTTTTGGAGCCAAAAGAGGTCGCAGTTACACACTGTAAAGCTCATCAGAAAGGTCAAACCGAAATTGTAAGAGGAAACAAAAGTGGATCAGGCAGCCAAACAAGCAGCAGCAGAAGTGTTATTGACTGGAGCACTATTTCCACCAAGTAAAGTTCTATGGACACCCTCACAGTGTTCCAAGGAAGAGGACCAATTTGCTAAACACCTAGAATGTACTAAGTCAAAGGATGGCTGGTGGATGACTAAAGATGAATAATTATTGATTACTACTCCAACGGTAAGAGAAATATTAAAGAAGCCTCATGATGAATCTCACATGGGAGCAGATGCTTTGGTTGCCAGTGTACAAAGGTATACCATAGGCCCAAAATTACAGAAAACAGCTGATATTATAGCTCAGCAATTCCAGCAATGTTGCAGAAACAATCCAAAAATAGAAAGAAAACCTCCTTCAGGAGAAGTTAAGTGAGGGCGATAGCCAGGAAAATATTGGCAAATTGATTCTTCTGAGTTACTGTGATGTAACCGGTACAGACACCTTTTAGTTTTAATAGATACTTCTTCCGGATGGCCTGAGGCATTCCCTTGTAATACCAACAAGTCAAGGGAAGTGATTAAAGTCTTGCTAAAGGAAATCATTCCAAGGTTTGGGATTCCTGAAGGAATATCCTCAAATCAGGGACCACATTTTACAGCTGAGATAGTACAAGGAGTAGTTAAATTTTTTACAGATAAAATGGGATTTACATACTTCTTGGAGACCTCAATCAAGTGGGAAGGTTGAAAGAATGAATCAAACTTTAAAATGACAGCTATCAAAATTATGCCAGGAAACTCAAGTGAAGTGGGTAGATGTTCTACCTATAGCTTCAGCAATGATTAGAATCACTCCAAGGGTATGAGAGAGAGTTAGTCCTTTTGAAATCTTACACGGTAAACCATATTCTATCAATGAATTAACCAGGAAAGAAAGACAAATGCATGAATCTGGAAAGGAAATGTTAACTATTTACTGTCTTTAGGGCAGACTTTATCTTCCCTTCATAGGTACCTGAATGAACGAATGGCAGTACCTCTGGATACTCCAGTACATGAAGTCCAGCCAGGTGACAAAGTTTACATATGAACCTGGAAAGAAACGATTGAAAGAAAAGTGGAAAGGACTCTATTTAGTACTACTCACCACCTACACTGCAGTGAAAGTAAGAGGAATCAACTTCTGGATTCATTATACACAGGTAAAAAAAGGCACCCAATCAGGGTCAAAGAAATTGGACTTCCACACTGACTGAGGACCTTAAGCTCCAGCTGACTCAAGATCCTGGGAAAAAGTTGTTATAAATTGGTTTTGATAAGATAAATGTTATAAGTGTAATGTCAATCTGGTTTATAATCACAGTCTGTAGAGGAAATTTGATTTTGCACCTTACCCAATCAATTGGGAGAATCCACAACACCAGCAGTATAACTGCTTGCCCACCATTGCCTAAATCTGCAGCTAAACCAAGAGAATGTGGATTATTAACTCTTGATTTAAATGCCTCTTTCCCAGGCCATGCTAGGAGAAAGTAATGCAACATTGTATTTGACAGAAAACAAAAAATTTAACATAGTGTCAGGACTAAGATATTGGTCAAAATTATGGAAAATAACCAACCCCAACCTTACAAGTTGGTGTATTCAGGCTAGAGACACTGATAATCGGACAACAATACTGGAAACTAGTTTGGCCTCCAAATCTGGACCAAACAAATGGAATGATCCTAAAGGGAACTGTCATATATATCCATGGGGCATGACAGTCCCCAAAAGTTGAAAAAAAAAAAAAAAGGCGAGTGGGAATATATGCAAATGACACCTTGGTGTATTACTTGGAATGCAACTATTAAGAAACACCCTAGATGGAATTGTAGCTTGGACCTATAACTGCTGCATGTCAAGTAAGTCCATTGAAATTCAAAGAACAGGCCCAGTGGCCAAAGCATTAAAATTGGGTTGCAGGTGTTTACATCAGGCTAGCTCCTTCTAGATACATGGACTGGTCAAACAGAAAAGTTCCATTCAGTTGATCATAACCAGGATACTATCCCATCTATGGGTCATACTGTTTGGGTCAACAGTGATGGAACTTGGACCACTCAGTTACCCTGCCATCCATCTGCAGCATGTATCAGTCATCAGACGCCGAGCAGGCAGAGCTCAGGCAGCTCAGGGCTGCCTGCAAGTGCACAGCATGAAAACAGGGTGCTCCAACATGCAAGAGCAGGGCTCCCAGCTCGTACAGGGGCAGGAGACTTTCCCAGATGCCCATGGAGTAGTGGGAATGCACAGAAGGACCACCACCTCCTCTGTGCCTGATTGGTCATGTCCTGCTAAGGAAGGTCTGGAAGCAGAGGCACAAGCCCAGAGAAGTCATACGCTGCTCCAGGGACATGAGCCTTGCTCTTCCACATCCACGTTGTCACACACAGCCCTGCCACATCTTAGTGCCACATCCCTAGGGGGCAGATGGCACAGGGCAGCCTTGCCCTGGAGGAGGTGATGCTTGCTGGCAGGATCCCAGGGACTTACCTCCACTCACACACGAGCTGTGCAGCCAGGCAGTGCCCATCAGATAATTTCTCACCCAAAGGCCTGGGAATCAAGAGACACTCAACCAGGGGCACACCTGCACCTGGGTGTGCCAGCACCACTCCAGGCAAGAGGAGCAGGGCTGGGCTCCAAGTCGGCACTTGTAAAGGACTGGCTTTTGCTAATGAACCGCCCCAAGTTAAATCTTCCACATGGAGACAATTAGCATACGGAAACCAGCTACCAAACCAGCAGAAACTGCTGAACTTTCCACAGCAAACAGACAGGCAAGACCCAACCAGTGGCTCCACAACCAGGTGGGTGGCAGAGGCACAGGAGCCTCTGCAGTGGGGAACACCCGTGAGCTACCTGCAGGCACCAATGCTGTACTGCTGAAAGGAGAGAGCCACCCACAGCCTGTCCCGCTCTGAAAGCTCACAGGATGCAGAGCCCAGGCAATGGGTGAGCACTAATCCCCTGGGACATGCAGCCCCAGGAGCAAGGGGAAGAGGCTCTTTGATAACACCCCATGCTCCTACACATTCCTCCCCCAAAAAAAACAACCCACACTTACCTTTTTGGCTATATGGTCACTGGACATCTACCTTTATTCACCAACACCTAAGGTCACCAAATCCCTCTGGGTGACCTTTTCCAGGCTGCAGCCTCACAGGACCTGACTGCAGCCTGCTCTCCATTCCTACACACTCACCTTCACATTTGGCTAAGGGCATTTTGCCTGCCGAAGTCCAGGTCACCACAAGAACCAGCCTGCCCTGCATGACCGCCCTGAATCAGAGCCTGCTGCTATCTCTGAGCTACATCTGCTGCAACTGCTCTTCTTCCAGCTGAGACAGACCCAGCTTTATGCTGCCAAGGCGAGGTTTTGGCAGCGTGCTTTTTCTCTCAAGGAAATTATTACTTTTTTTTTAACCGAGCATCAGGGAACCAATCCAGCTGCTTCCCCAGCAGGTTTCTGGTGATGGGAAATAAGATGCCCAGGCAGAGCAGCTATGGCAAGGCACAGTGGGGCATCCTGGCTCCTTGGAAAGGAGGTGATGGATGGATTTCAAAAAGCAGTTTTTCCAGGAGCACAGAGCAGGAGAGGTTTGGGATTTACAGTCAGCCACTGCCCAAGCTGTTTTGCCACCTCAATAGCAAACTCTTCCCCTGTTAGGTTCTCCCAAAATCACGCAAGCCAAGAGGAGAGAGGTGGTTGGTGCCCAATTGCTGCCTATTAACAGCTCTGCCACGGCTGCAGAATAACCAGGAGAAAGTCTTCGGGTTATGCAGCACCAAAAGCCCTGCCAAAAATTCCCTACAAATTGGCAGTGGAATTAAAACCTGCCTGGACATCACCCAGGTGTTCCAGATCCGTGCCATGACCCCCTCCCAGGGCACACCAGCCACCTCTACGGAAATCTGCCTGCACCTCCCCTCCTGCCCTGCCAGCCCCAGCACCCACCACAGCCAAAATGTTCACCCAACCTTTTTTTTTTTTTTTTCCCCCAGATTTGCAGCTGTGGGTGGAGTCCCCAAAGGGGCTACCCCGATGAGCCCCGCTTAACAAAAATCCCACCCCAGGGCTGTCAACACCCCCGGCCATGCCACCTGCAGCAGACGCTGGTGCTGCAGGAGGGGACACCCATCAGCCAGAGGTTTAACGAAACACAGCAGACACCACATCAACCCAGGGTGAGGGGCCCCCTTCCTCAGACGAAAACACACTGCAACCCCGTGGCACGCCCAGCCATCTCAGGAGGTACAAGCACCTGCACCAGGTGACTTCGCACTTGACGTACAACAGATTTTGAGAGCACCCCCGGCACGGGTGCCCCCCAAGAGAGGGGTGCTGCTCATCAAGGGTCATTTGGGAGAGGGCACACCAGCCTGCAGGGTTCCAGAGGCTCAGATTCAGGCACCATGCCGCAAGACTGAGCTCCAGGCTCCTCTTGCAGCACCAGCACCCAGGTTTCCATCAGCTGGCTGCCTCTGCTGGGCAAATGCACGGGCGCCTACCAGTGCCAGGAGCACGCAGCCTCCCACACATCCTTGCATCCCTGCATTAGCTGCCCTTTGCCAGCCAACACCGCTGCCCTCGGGTTTCAAATCAAACCCACGCAGGTACTTCTCACCACCCTCTCCTCCACTCTCTAGGCTGGGCTCTCCTTGCGAGGACGTTTTGCCCTGCACAAGTACTTTGAGATGACAAACAAATCGCCTCCTGAATTTGTGCAGGGGGACGATGCAGTAGTTTGACTATTAGCTTCTTGCTTCTGAACCTTAAAACCCTTTTCTAGGACTGACACAAGCCATTTCCATCCTGAGACCCCAATAAGAACAGGCCAGGATTGGCCTCCCCAAGCTAGCACAGAGGTGATCACCTCTCCTCTCCACTCACCCCACCAGAACTTCAGGCTTTCCCATGTGCTCCACTCATTCCCAGTCTGCCATGGCGGCTTTTCCAGCAGCCTTTCATCTCCCATGCCCAGCCCATGCTTTCTCTTCCCCGATGCCCAGGCTCACACTGGTGTGTCTCAGGTCGGACCGGCATGCCGTGCACCCCGAAGCTGTCTACTATCTGCCCCTTCATCAGGCTTGGCAGGAATCAGCTTTGCAAGCAGCCACCTCCAAGGACATGGAGATCAGAAAATGGAGGCAGGAGACATAAAGCAAGGACAAGGAAATAAATGACGCTGTCATCGGTTTCAGCGTTCAGCCTGATGGGTACACAAACACCACCAGCACCCAGGCAGCAGTTCCAAAGGTTAAAATAACACTGTCTTGCACGCGCGTTTTACCTGGTTACCTCCAGCTTACCCTAATGGAAAGCCAGGAGAAGCCCTCATCCCCAAACCTGCTACCACGCACGGCATTTCAAAATCCTCCCAATTAACCTCCAGTTTAATCGCCATCTGCCGAAAGGGGCCGAGCACCTGACACCAGCCAGGGAAGATGCGGCGGTGATGGGCACCAGCAGCAAGTCTCGGGGGTGGGAGATAGGAGTCTTCCTCCCCTCTCACCCCTAGAAGTGACGCCCCAAGCCCTACCGGCTCGGGAGCCC